CAACGAGATCTTCGTACTACTGCCCCTATGCCTTCTGAGCCCTATATTACCGGGCCACGGGGTAGACTTGAAATCGAGGACAAAGGACCTGTTTTAAAAAAGTATGCTTAACTTTTTAAAATTCCCTTGTGCTTTTACATTGTGATATTGCCTTTGGGCCTATTTTTAGTCCACAAATACATCTATGAGAAGTGAGAGCAATTATATATTCGGACATACTAAGCTTGTACTGTCATATCGAAATTGTAAATTAAGTAGAATTATATGATCCCTCGTTTACAAATGTTTTAATGAAATATAGAAGGTCTATAAGCTTTTGTTAACTCGATTTACTAATAGGTGTGAATATATTAAGCAACTGCGTTTTAATTTAGCACACGATTCAGACTATTAACCGATAATATTTTTTGTGCCCTATAGTCGTGATCGATGCTTTGAATCGGTACCCAAGGGTGCTTCTCATCCTCATGATTCATCACCGATTAGCCCTACTTCGCCTCTACCTGACATTCGCAGTGGCCGTGATATTAGTCGCACCCGATTCCCTCATGATCCTCATCATAATCATCGTATTGTTGCCGAACCATCGCCTAACCCTGACACGTTGCGTGCGCATTATCGTAGTCCCCCTCCCGTGCCCTCACCTCTGAGGCCTGCTCCCCGGCATGGAATCTCCGTATCTCCACCGCCATTACCGCCGGTCCCTTCAAGGGGCAGGGAAGCAACGAATTCGCGCTCTCATGATAGACGTTTGGCCTCGCCTGTTGCACCACTACCACCTTCGGGTTCACCACTCCAGCATTCGGTCAGTGCTTCTAGGAGGCGAGCGACTGGCCCATTATCGCCTGGTCGAAAGTAAGCCTGGTTGCATTAGTAAAATATGTTATATGAGCCATTACACATTAATTCTATTCCATTTTTCGTTCCATCTATATCCTTATTTATATGACGACTAATTTTTTTAACTCTGCATTGATCTTTTAGCGTTTAGATACCTTAAAAAAATTTTCACTTCTGTAAGC